TCAACAACTAATACCCAAGGAAATGCAACAACAAATCCTCAGGTAATATTTTTTCCATATGGTGTTTACTTTAAAAACAAATTAAAAAATTACAACAATAGTACAAAACAACTTGTATGTTTTTAAAACCAAAATTATTTCATCTACAAGAAATCATGTTAAATTTTGTACCACTTTAATGTTAGAAGTTTACTCTTCATAACATCTTAAATTTAACAGGAAAAAAACAAAACTGACTAGTCCTTGTTTCCCATAATGAATCCGTGACAGAATGAATGGGAGATTTGAATCTCAGAGGGCTGGGAGCAAGCGTGTTTTCTTTAGTGTGTAGCCTAGGGCTTTATAGTCGTGAAGTGCAGAGTGATTGGTAAGGGCTAGAGCTCTTCTCTTCTGTTTGGCCCAGCCACCACCCCATGAACTCCAGTAGACTTGCTGTTTGGGAACAGTGTTTGAGTTAGCCTTGCTCGTACTTCCTTAGCACAAATACATTTTACCCTTACATTTTAAGTCTCTTGTATGTAGTTTTAGAAAATCCTTGCCAATCTCCCAGTAAATGCTTCAAAGCAAAGAGCAGAGTTTTGTGCTAATGGTTTCATACTTGCTTCCTTTGATACTAAGAGTCTGGCAAGATCCATAAATCCAGAGAATTCCTTGTCCACTATGTTTTTTTTCCTCTGATTTTAAGTTATTTTCATTTTGTTTTATCTGCTTCCATTCTTTGAACTCCTAGTATTTATAGTCTGTTTCACAAATGCCAGCCTTTAATACTCTAAGCCTTGAGTTATTTGCTCATTGTTTTTCACACTTGATCTCTTCTCTGCATGAAACTAGCCTGAAAACTGGGACTCTTTTCTTGAGTATAGGACCCTTTCCCTGTAGTTCCCCATAACCTCAGGGTGGGGCATCAAATAGTTTAACATCTGATAACATACTTGTTTCTGGTTAAAACTGGGTGCTGTTTATACCTTATTCATGCCCCCACCCAGTAATGATTCTCAGTAGTAACTTCCTAGTTCCATGTTACATGTCGAGAGGCAGTAAACAGCAGTGCAGAGGTATTGAGTACTGAGTGTTGCCTGAGTGGAGTATCCAGCTGAGGAGGGATAACACTAGTGCCTTCCCTAGTTTTATTAGGTTCTTTTAATGATGTACTGTAGATGACAGAATTCTCCAATTATAATTGACCCTTAAATGCTTAAAGCATAAATATTGTTTTACATACTATTAATTAAATAGCTAAAATCTTTTTAAGATTGCAGTCTTCCAAATTTGGGGTATTTTGACTTGAACATCTGTTCCACTTAATTGCTGTTAGGTTTATATTTATTTCTCTGATGTCATTGTTTTTCAGCGTTAGTGTTTGTTGTAGTAAGATTTCACAAGCCTGGAAAAATGAATATAGCTCTCTGAAATTCAGGTTTTAATGTAGAAATCAAATGACTTACCATTCTGTTAACACATATAAACTAACTGCCCTTTGTTTTTAATAGGTCCCTGATTACCCTCCAAACTATATTTTATTCCTTAATAATTTACCAGAAGAGACTAACGAGATGATGCTGTCTATGCTGTTTAATCAGTAAGTTGATGCATAAACAAGTCTGTTTCCAGTATTCTCTCAACGGGACATTCAGCACTTCCACGAGTTGAAGCCATTTGACATTCCACAGCAGTCATTCCTTATGGGTTCATTGATTTAGCCTGGGATTAATCATGGATTGAAACCAATCTGCAGATTGAACAAACAGAAAGCTGAATATTCTCTGATATATGGATTATTAGTTCTAATGAGTGAAACAGGAAGCAAAGCTTTGATATAATGACAAAAATAGAATCAGCATAGATATTTTCAGTTCTTTCACAGTATTAATTAGAGTTTAGACTCTTTCATCCTAATCAAGATTTTTGGTAGCATATGATTGCTTTTCCTGGACCAATATTAGAAACGTGCCTACAGATATAAACACAAAGCAGACATTTATGCATGTGTATGTATATATGAATTGTTTATGCTCCTTTCAGGTTTCCTGGTTTTAAGGAAGTACGCCTGGTACCTGGAAGGCATGACATTGCTTTTGTGGAATTTGAAAATGATGGGCAGGCTGGAGCTGCCAGGGATGCATTACAAGGGTTTAAGATCACACCATCCCATGCAATGAAGATCACCTATGCCAAGAAATAACATTTGGGATAGTCATGTTTAAGGGACTTGGTGTTATTTATGGTGTTTGTTTTGATAACATTTGGTCAGACCATTTTAATGGTTGGAGGTGGGGAGAAGTAAAAGTGAAATTTTTGTGAAAGATTTAAACCATATAGTCTTTCTTTAGCCTTAGTGAAGTGTGTAATATTAAGGCCTTAATTTTGTACAATAAACTTTTATTTGTATTCTGAATATATAATGCTTTGTTTATTGCCCTTGACCGGTCATGAGATGCTTATTCTACTCTAGAACACATCTTAATTATATAAAACTATAATACAATGTTTTTCAGTTATTTTACAGTAGCTAATGATAGAGCAGCATGGCCGTTTTAACAAAGGTTAAATACTGTTGTATAAATGTTTAAAATACATCATCCTGTGTATTAGAGAAAATGAGCCCTGAGCAAGATCTAAATTTGATCTTTGTATCCTTCAAGGTCTAAGTTTGACCTTTGTATCCTGTATTTTGCTAGAGGTAGAGATTTCAATAGCCTTTCATTCTGTATTTAATAAAGGTCATTTAAGAGTAACTTATGTTCACAGTTTTCTAGGAAAACAGAAGAAAAGCAGATGCTGTCTTTAAATTTTGCATTTTCTTTCCTGTTAAGGTGACACTATTCCTAAGGAGTACTGCTTGGTTAGTATCTAACTTCATTATTGAAAGACCCCCAAGGGGAGGACTTAAAATCTATAATCTGTTTTAGGACAGGTAGGCTAATTAGCATAGCCAGTGCTAATCTCGCCACCTCTTTGTAATTCTTAAAACACCAATATTCTTATATTCCCAAAGATCCTTTAGCAATTTGATTTATACTTAAGACTATCAATTTCCCCTGCTTTAAAGCCATGAGGATCTTTATAAATGGACAGTTTTTCGCAAGTATGGTGCATACTAAACGTTTTTTGGCATTTGTGTTTCAGTAGTTCCTTAAACAAAACTTAACCCTTATTGTGTACTTACAGAAAGGCCACTTTTAGACATAGGTAAATAGACTATTATTGCATCACTTTTGCATATACATTAAGTGGGAAAAAGCAAAATAATTTTTTTATTCCTAAAACTGACACATTTGAAGGGGTCCCTTTTTTGAAAAACTTTTTAACCCAGTTGTCAGGCACAGTGAATTACTCCTAGATGTTACAACAATATTAATTGCTGTTAAATGTTCTGCTTATTCTCAATTGCTGCTTGTCTCTGATCCCATTTTCGAGTGGCTGTATCAGAGGAAGTAGAAAGGCCAGTGTAGCCAGAGTGGTGTGAGAACAAGGGAGTGGGAAAATATGGGTGAGAATTGGCCTTTTTAAGGTCTTACACTCTGAGTGAAATTGGAAACTTTTAGAGGATTTTAAAAATTGAATTATTCACATGTGGTAAAATTCACCTATTTTAGTGTCCATTTGATGAATTTGGGAAATTGTATAGTCATGTAATCATCAAGATAAAGAGCTTTCCATCACCCCAAGAAGTTTCCTTGTTCCCCTTTGCAGTGAAATGATTCCCCCTGCTTTCAGCCCTAGGCACCCGCTCTGCTCTCCGTCTCTGTAGTTTGGCCTTATCTGACTGCCTTGAAATTGATCTGTGTTGTATGTGTGAGCAGTTTCCTGCACTAATGGATGGGCATTTGTGTTCCAACCCAGGGCCATTATGAATGAAGTGACAACGTATGAACATTCACATACTGTTCTGTGTGGCTGTATGTTGTTAGGTTTTGAGCAGAGGAGTAACATCTGATTTGCTTTTTAATTTTTTCAGTTTAGGTACAATTTCTAGTTTTTATTTGCCGTGGAATAGTACACAGAACTCCCATAGACACTTGGATTACCAGTTAACGTTCCTAAACTTTTCAAGACTGTGGACCTGATTGCCTGTTGCCCCTCAATACATCCATGTATATTAAGTAAAAGACCACTAACCACAATCTGACCATCAAAATGAGAAAATTAATATTAATCCTGTGTTACAAAATTGAAGTTTTGCCAATAGCCCAATAACAGCCCAAGATTCCAGTCTAGGACCATACTGCATGCAGTCATCATGTCTCTTGAGTTTCCTCAGTTCCTCAGCCTCTCTTTAATTTTATACACACATAGAAATTATCTGAGTCCATCTATCCTTGGATGTATCTATACTATTGTTTAAAATCTGAGTTAACAGTACCTCATGCTGTAGTCCAACAGTCCCAAGCATATTCTAGTTTCCCCACTTCCTGGAGTGTAACTCCCTTCACCAGTTCCATTAACCTCACTGTATTAAGTTACTTGCTCAGAGCTCCTATAGGTAACTATGCTAGTAAGTCTGGCTTTCAAGAGGGAGGAATGGAAATGATCAAATCAGGATATTTTGGCCTTCCCTATATTACCTGTCTTAAATGATTGGAGGAAGTAGTGTTATCATTGTAATGGGTCTCAACTTTGCATGTTAGACTCATCTGGCAGACATTTTTCTACCTATGCTCAGTTTGCATCCTAGATCAATTAAATCACTTAAGAGTGAAAGTCATCAGTGTGAAAGTTCTGAGGGTGATTCTAATGTGAGTCAAGGTTAAGACTTAACAAAGCAGATTTCTACCTTTATGAAGATTACACTAATTAGGTGATTAGTTCAAGTAGTATTTTTTCAAAGGCAGCATATTGATAAATAGAAGTTAGTGTAAAACAAATTTGTAAGAAGCTTATAGTATTTTCTGTTTGCATATTTAAGTATTTTTGTTCCTTGAAAATGTACCCACTGGCAGTCTAATGAAGATGGTTAAGCGCTGGCTAATTTTTTTTTTCTCTATTTGATTTGCCCAGAAGCAAACTTTAGCAAACTTCAGAAACTTTTGCATGTGTGAGTTACATGGTATCTTGTTAAGGTATAGATTCAGATTTAGCCTGTTTGAAGTGAAGTCTGACACTATTTCAAAAAAGTGACACCAAAGTTAAGGTTTGGAGACCACATTTTGGTGGCAGTTATTTAGTGAGTCTTAATTTGGAGGTGTTAAGAATATCTTTTTAAATCTGATACCGAAATGTATAATTTCAGAAGGATCGTACACTCAGTCAATACTGATTTTCTACTAAGTATTTTACCGGGTGATCATGATCTCTGTGTCATGGAGCTTTCATCATAGTTGGAGACAAACCATCATAGAGTAAATAAGCCAGGCATGTCAGATAGACATGCTGCAGGCCAGTATACCAAGGCTGGGAAGACAGGCTTTGGGTTGGAGGAGTGAATGGAATGGCTGTTAGGTCATCCATCTCTGGAGGCGTCTTGGCCAGAAACCTGAATACCAGTGTCTGAGGGTATGGCTTAGATCTAAAATGTCCCTCAGAAGCCTCATGTATGTAGAAGTGGGGCTTGTGGAACGTGACTGCATCATGGGGGTGCTGTACTTGTCAGTGGGTTCATCCATGGCTGAGTTCACTGCTGAATGTGTTGTTAGGAGATGAGTCTTGGTTGGAGTTGGGTCACTGGGATTGCAACCTAGAAGGATGCTTTCTTTACCCAGCTCCTCCCTTCTCTCTGCTTCTGGCTTCCAAAAAGTGAGCAGCTTTGCTCTGCCATGTCCTTCCACCATGAAATTTCTGCCTTGGGGCCAACTGACCATGTACTAAGTTCCCTGGACTGTGAGCCAAATTAAACCTCTCCTTTAACTCTTCAGAGGTTGTAGCTGACATGAGAGATGCAAACAAATTCTTCTTATATATTGTTAAGGGGTAGCATCAGATCCAGGACCTTGGCAGGGTTAAGTTCTGGGTGTTGGGTATTGTGTTTTCAAAAGCCACAGATCAACCAGCATGACAGGAACAGTCAATAAGGAAGAGAAGGAGACATCTAAGAGGCAGAGGGGCCAGGTCCTAGAGGACAAAGGAGGCCATAGCAAGGATGCTGCTTCTGCTTACTGGAGCCTCTCCTTAGATGTTAAAGGAGCCACAGCCTCCTTTTTAAGAACCACAGAGTAGGTTTGAAAAATGCATCTGAAATCCAGAAGGAGGAAGTAAGCAAGCTCTGGACAGAGCCTGGCTTGGACCCTCAGTGACTGCAGTGCTTAGAGCGCTAGGCACATCTGCTTGTGGCATTTCATGTTCCTATTTGCTAACAGCAACACTTTACCAGGCAACCTTTAGTTCTCCTTCCTGTCTCTGCCCAGTGCAGATGCCAGAGTATCCCAGGCCTCCCCAGGGTGTGCCTACAAGATTGGCGTCTTTTCTTTATTTCTTCACCTTCAAAAGACCAGTCAAAGCTTCACATTAGCCTTAGCCTTCTTTGTTAAGTTCTAATAGCTAAAATTTGGCTTCCTTCACCATTTCACTCTGCCCTGGAGGGGCCTGAGCACAATATGGCAATCTGAATTTATGCAGTCTCCATTTCTTAAGTGTCTCTTGGACAGCAACTGTCTCTTAGCTCTCCCGTGTAGAGGGCTGGCTGGAGATTGCAGCAGTCTGTGAAACAGCTGCCAGATCAGGATGAAGATTTAGCCCATGCTTTAGTTTTCCCAGAGATACTTTTAGCCCCCTAGATTACAGGAAAGAAAAATGCACTGACATTCTGCTTTCAAAAATTATTTCTAACTCATCCTTTCCTTGACATGCAGCAGGAGATAGAAGATTTAAAATCGCAATTCTAATTTGACAGTGATGAATGTAAACGCCAAGAAACCACGATGCCTCTTGGTGACCTTGAGATCAAGTGGTTAAGAAAGGGCCCTTGAGCAATTGTGGGCCTCAATTTCTTTGTCTATAATGAAAGTATTGAATAAAACAAGCCTCCAATTCAGAGGCAACTATATGAAAGATCCTCCCCTAAACACAACACACACACACACACACACCAAATCCCTTTTACATACAAACAGTAAAACTCTATTGCACACACTCAACCATACACATGCATACATAGGCCCCAAACAATAAAACCTTTTTATTATACTATAAGCATATTTTGCTTTACCAATTTATCCCTTAGAAAAATATTTTGCATTAAATTACTTAGTAAGTTGAACTCTTGTTCCTCATTTCATATGGTGACCACACTTGAGGATGCAGGAATGAGGTACACTGGGAAGCCATGCTGTCAATGGAGTTGGAGAGGGCATCTTGACAGAAACCTCTGGTCAAGAAACAATGGGTAGGGTGGGCATAGGTGTCCACCTCATCAGAAGGATGCCAGCCCCAGACACTCTGTAAAAGGCAGCAACTAGACATGGGGCAGGCCCTTTTAACAGCCACTCTTCTATCTCTAGTGCCGAGAACAGTACCTGGCACACCATAAGTGCTCAATAAATATTTGTTGAATAGATGGAGCTAGTAGCAGTCTCTCTTTTTTCATAGGAACAGGCCCAGAAGCACAGAAGAGAAGGTAACATAAACCTCTAATGTTACTCGCTTTTCAGTGAATCACACCTCGTGAGCAATTTGATCCTGAATTTTGAACCCCTCAGAGGGGTTGCTGTAATTTGGATCTCCAATGTCTCTCACAAGCCTGTGTGCTAAAGGCTTGGCCCCCAGGGCAGCAATAGGGGTGGGTGGAGCCTTTGAGAGATGGAGACCCAGTGATAGGCTCTTAGGTCATTGGCTGTGTGCTGTGGCTGGGGACTGCGGGACCCTGGTCCCTTCCTCCTCTTCTGCTTCCCACCCATGAGGTAAGCAGGTTTCCTTCACCACACACTTCCACCACCATGATTTGCTCAACACAGGTCTGAAGTAGTGGAACTGACTATGGACTGAAACTTCCAAAACCATGAGCCAAAATAGCTTTTTCCCTGTGTAAATTTATTGTTTCAGGTATCTGTCATAGCGATGGAGAATTGACCTACACAGAGATAAAGAATTGACCCATTCTTCCCAACCCGTCTCTCTCTTTCTCCACTGGTGGGGTTTAAATGTGTCACCAACTAGTATGTTATAATCTATCACTGGTCCATGACCAGCATAATTTATAAAACTCCTTTCAGAAAGGATTTGTATTCACAATAATCCTTTACTTATTATCTAAATTTAAGTGTCTATTAATTGGATTTCTTAAATCAAAATTATTTGTACTAAAGATATGCATCTCACATGTTCAGTGGATTTTTATAGTTAGCATATCTTTGCTCCTAAGATGAAAGACTATGAGGGTGAAATAAAAAATTTTTTAAAATAGTTCAAAATTCTCATAGTCCTCTCAGTAATGTCCTGCTGATCAAGAAAATAAACCAGAGTTAATTTAGCTTTGCCAATGGTGCACCATTATGGGTATCATTTGTGTGCAAAAGAGATGAGGAGTTTGGCTGTCTTTGGAAAAATCTGATGCTAAGGAGTCCCTGGAGTCTGGGAGCCATGATGAAAGTAGGGGTGGCGGACCCTTCTCATTGGCCAGGGCTATTTACCCAGAGGTCTGGCTTTCACATAAAAGATGGGAACCACTGCACTCAGTCCCCACTTCTAGTCAAAGAGTGCCAGTCAAAACAGCAGAAAAAGGAAGATGGCAAGAATATTGTTGCTTTTTCTCCCTGGTCTGGTGGCTGTATGTGCGGGGCATGGAGTATTTATGGATAGACTTGCTTCCAAGAAGCTGTGTGCGGATGACGAGTGTGTCTGTAAGAAGCTTTTTATGCTTTTCATTACCTTTGTATTATATAATTGAAAGGCAATCCACTAACAGCATAGAATTGAATTGTACTTTGAAGTGAATCTTCTTTAGTATGTATTTTATCAGCATTAGGTCTCGTGATCTGTAAGTTTGGTATCTGACAGTAGAGAATTCACTTGGCTGAGACTTTGTTGTTGCTCTAGTAGTTTGGCTCTAATTTTTCTTGAATTGAGCCCCAGCTCCACCCTGGGTGGTATTAGTTAGTCACTCTGACTTCCTAGTTTTCTTATGCTTTACCTTTTTACTATTATGAAATGTAGTCACTTCTATTTATTTTTTTATCTTCCAGATACTATTTCTCTGGCTAGAGCCCAAGAAGATTATAATGCCCCAGACTGTAGATTCATTAATGTTAAAAAAGGGCAGCAGATCTACATTTACTCAAAGCTGGTAAAAGAAAATGAAGCTGGAGAATTTTGGGCTGGCAGTGTAAGATGATATTATTAAAAGTATACACACATCTTGACACATGCTGCTCTTAATTTTTCTTCAATTTCCTATCTTCAAACCTTTGTAATGTTTAAAAATAGCTGGCAAGAACAATACAGAGATTGTAAATGCAAATGCAAAAGTTCAGGTATATTTGCTCTTATTACATCTTAAAGAAATAAAAATAACTTCATAACAAAACCACAGGTGGGTTAATGTGATATTTTGGCCAAAAGTGTGTGTTGGGGGGGCATACCCATTTTGAGGCTTGCGCATCCCATAGAGTTTGAATCTCATTCAAAAATGTGTAGAGGGTTTGCCAAGTGAAAGGTATGTGTGTTGGCAGGCAGTCTAAGTTTCAGTATTCTTTTAGGAAACTTTAGCAGCATCTTTAATTCCAAAGAATCTACTTCCTTCAGTTAAAAGGTACAGAGTGGGCCTGAGGGAGGATGTGGCCAGATTCATTTACTGCCTTTACCACCCCTAAAGGTAGGTCCTATAGTAGTCAAGGATTAAATTGAAACGTGTTCAAGTGTCTGTTCATTTGAATTACTAAAAACTGAGAAATACGCATCCTTTAAAATAAGTGTCTATTTACTTTTAAAAAGTTTTTACTGACTTTCCTTTTTAGATTCCTTTTTATGGATTCAGGCAAGTCACAAGATAGCATAAAAGAAAGTAATGCTAAAGTAATGAGGCAAATTAAACCCAGCCACAAGAAAATAGGGACATAGCTCCCAGGGGTTAACTTAGTTGCTGTAAGAGAAGTTCAAATTCGGCCCCAAGTTCCCTGGAACACAGAGAAGAGGGAAGGCATTGGCAATTATGTAATTCTCACTTTCTTGAGTGACCCTCACTTTGGCTTTGCACTGACTCCTATTCTCTTGGACACTCAGGTTTATGGTGATCACCAGACTGAGATGGGAATCGTGGGTTATTTCCCCAGCAGCTTGGTCAAGGAGCAACGTGTGTACCAGGAAGCCACCAAGGAAGTTCTCACTACAGTAAGCCTCTCTCAGATCCTGGGTGATATAGGCTGGTGCGGCAAACGTGATTTAAGGGATGTGTAAAGCAAGTCCCCATCTTCCAATGGCAGCTTTTCTGAGACAGTGGGATTTGGGGACGCATTTATACCAACTACCAATATCAAAAGATTCGTGCACTTTCTCTACATACCCCTTCTGTTTGAGTTTATTATTCTCTCTATGTTTCTCTTTTTTTACTTTATTTTTTTCAGTTTTAGTTGGTTTATAATTGACTAGTAGGAATTGATTTGATGTTTTGATATATACACAGATTGTGAAATGAGCATCACAAGCAAGCTTATTAACATCTATCACACACACAGTGGGGTTTGTGTGTGTGTGTGAGTGTGTGTATGAGAGAGAGACAGAGAGAGAGACAGACAGACAGAGAGAGAGAGAGACAGAGAGAATGTTTTAAAGCAAATTTCAAGTATACAGATCAGTACTCCTTTTGTTTTAGAATGGAGTTATCCTGGAAGGAGTCCATGTCATAAAGAAAGAAACCAAATTAGTATTATCTGATGCTTACAGAGAGTTTGCACTGATTTACAGACTATAAGTTGGGGGAAAAATTAGCACCTGTTTTTGTTAAGATCAAAACATTCTAGAAAAATCTTTGAATGCCTTATTTTTGTGCCTTATTTTTTTTCTATTAATGTATGAAATAAAATCATCCTCTTACTAATGCCCTGGGGTCCTGTAAACTCCTGGCAAAAATAAAAGAGCCTCTCTGAGATGCTCTGCAAGGTGGTTGTTTTGAAGTGATTCTCCCGAAGCTAATTACAGTGCTTCACACAGTGCGCAGCCTACACAAATCCAGCTCACTTGTCATTGCTTCTGAGCATGGAGCTTGATCTGTCAAATAACCAGAAATTAAAAGTTTATCTGAGTACCTTCACTTTAAGTAGTTTTTGACTTCAAGTGATAATTATTTTATATTCTTTGAGGTTCAACCTTTACTTATTTTTAAATCTGATTTTCTCTTTGATTAAATCTGATTTTAAATAAAGAACTTACATCTGTTTTCTGGCCCAGCCTGCTTAGTTCAATCCTTTTTTGTCTTTTTTATTTCCTCCAGGATATTGACTTCTTCTGTGAATAAGAAATTAAACTGCAGGTGAAAAGGAAACATCAAAACTGAAGAAAAATAAAAGCAAAAACAACCAAAAATGCATGTATCTATTTTCTGGCTTTCTGAAAAGAGTTTGTTATGCTAGAGGAGGGCTGGAGCTGGGGCATAAAGGTAACAGGTAAAAGATTTTCAACTTGTTTTTTGCTGGCTTGGTTTTTTCACAAGCTGGAGCAAGACAACATTTGGCTTAAATGAGTGAATTAAAACCAAAGTTATTTTGCCGCCTAGGGAAGCTTTCCTTACTTTGAGCATGCATACAGAAGATGGTTTATGATGACTATTTCTAAATACTAATTCTTTCCAGATCTTTGCCTCTCCATATAAACACAGGTGAGTCAAAGGTCTTATCTTTGGGAGTAATGATTTTTAGTTATTTGTACCTAAGTTAAGGGCTGGATCATTAAGGAGTATTCTAGTATTTTTTTGTTACTTTTAACATTTGAAATTTGGATTTGAAGCTGTGAATTAAAAGAAACCAGGTTTTTTGAACCCATAGATGCTGAGACTATGGTTTTGAATTTCTTTTTTAAAAAAGTTTCACAAATTAATTCAATTCAATGATTTTACTTCTAAATGATCAACTTACCCCCCTGTTAAATAATCATATAATGGTTATATTCTTTTCAGTATGAACTTTCATTGAGTGTTATACAAGCTTTAAGTCATCAAAAGACTGTGGATTCTTTTCTCTGCTTCTATTTCAACTTTTACTTTCTTCTTTCTATGAAAATTTCCCTCATTATGTGTAATGTACCGGTATCAATAAATATGATGAGAAGATGCAGGTTTTAAGGTCCTGATGGGCCCATGCATTTTTATGTATTTAAATGGAAATCAGCATTGATTGTGTATTATTAATGTAATTCTTTTGATGTACTCATGAGTTTTTATTTGTTTACATGTAATTAAAATGCCTGTACTGTGCTAAAAAGTCACAATTTCTGAGTTTTTCTTTTTTAACTGACATTTTTGACTCTGGGGATGGGACTTGCTTTTGTTTTAGTGTGAAGAGGGAAGCAGAAGAGACCCTCCAGGCAAGTCAGACCCTTGAGGTAGTGCCTTTTTCAGTTATGTCCACTGTGACTTTGGGTGAATATCATCTTGCTAAGTTTTTATGGAGACCAGATGAATAAAATAGTTCTCAAAACAAACCGAATCAAAAAGCTCCAGAGTTAATTTGATTCCAGCTCACTTTATTACATAAAAAGGTCCAGATAGCAACAAGAAGTTAAGGTGGGTGGTATTTTTTCTACTTCTGTTTCTGTCTACTGCTCACTTGCTGGCCTCCGCACTGTAGATGTCCTGTCACCTCACGCGACATCCAACGCCCCCAGGGCCCACCTGGGTGGCCTCAGGACCTAGCCTCATCCTATGCTTGGGCTCTGCAGTGAAAGTCCCACCTTCCCTTCCCACTCAGCTCCCACCTACCAGACCTGGTCCACCCAGGAGCAACTGATGATTGATTGGTTTGAGTCTCGTGGGAGCTGATTTGCGTTAAAAGAAAGTACAGGTGGGGCTGAACACAGTGCCAAGTGCCTCCCTGGAAGCTGGATAGGCCATAGAATTGCAGGGCCCACCACAGACCTGAATCAGAACCTGCCTTTCAGCGAGGTCCCCAGGGGACTCCTGGCACAAGAGAGAGACTGATTTTAGCTCTGCTTCTCATCTTAAAGGTAAAGAAATAAAAAAAGGTAGAGAACCTGGGAGATGAGGCCAAAGATATTGGAGAATTTCTAGGTTCCAGACCCTACCTGCCCCACTGTATTGCAGTCACTCAGTGGTCAGTTGTTCTCTATCCAGAAGAAAGGGGCGCTGAGCAGCTGTAGAGTGAGAGTTTGGGGCAATGAGCCCTTCTGGGACCCTCTCCAGTTGAGGAATCTTGGCATTTTAGTATCTATAAGAGGTTGTCAACTGATGACATTAAAAAACACTTCCCCTAAAACCCCTAAATCTGTGACCTTTGAACTTGTAGGCTTCCTTGATATTCCAAGCTGAGTACCATGATATTCTGCTGCCCAAGTCTCATGCTGTGGTCTGGCAGTCATGTGCCAGGAAGCTGAACCTGGCTACCTGTGGCCCAGCCCCATCCTGGAGAGTTTCAACTAGCCCAACTCATTCCGTTTCAGCCAAGAATCACTGTGAAGTCTCAAGGTCCTCACTCACCATTCTATTTTATTCCTCTGATCTTGCTGCCCTTCAGATGACCAATGACTGATTAAACAACATTAAACAGAACAGGGGAGCTGCTGCCACTCCTCTTTAATCTCTGAGATAGTTAATTCAGTTTTTGAAGTGTGTAAGTTTTATGATGCAGCTTGTACTGCCTCCCCATGGGAGAGAAAAAAAGAGATTTAATCCTCTATCTCTGACATCAAAGAATAAGACTTCTACCTATGAAAGCATAAACAGTACATGGCAGTGCTTGTGGGGAGGGAATGCCAGCAGATTTCAGGGGCTATCTGAGGATAAGTGACAGACTTTGCCTATACCAGAGCTCTTTAAAGAAGTTACTGGTGTGGGGTGAGACAGGAGACATGATCAAAACATACATTGACTGTTTCCATTAAAAAGTATTACAGTAAAAGACACAGTGCCATTAATCCTCCTCAAAATACACTCCCTTGCTTTGAAACACACTTACTTCATCATACTTGCTACCCTCTGAAGCAGCTCCAAAGACCTCTTTTGTGAGTGTCTTTAGTTGCCCTGTCATGCCTGGATCAGTGGGCTGAATTGATTCAAAATGTTGACTTTTCATGGTCATTTTGACTTTGGGGAAGAGCCAGAAGTTGCACGAGGCCAGATTTTATTAATAAGGTAGATGAAGATGAAGACACATAGTGATGTTCTCATGAGCCCTCCTTTCCGTTGGATGGCACTCAGCGGCATTTATTCACAGACACAAAAGAGGACTTCCGGAACTGCTTCAGAAATTAGCATGATGGGATAAGTGTGTTTCGAGTGAAGGAGGGCATTTTGAGGGAGATTGATGGTAATGAGTTTTTTATTATAAAAATTCTTAATTTTGAGACAGGGTCTCACTATGTAGCCAGGCTGGTTTTGAACTCACAGTGATCCTCTTGCCTCAGCCTCCCAAATCCTGGGATCACAGGCATCCACCACCATGCCTGGCTTTAAAATTTTAATTTAAACATTCGGAATATTCTTTTCATCACACCTTGTAAGCAGAGAAATGGATCCAAAGTTAGAGGAGTTGGGGAATCATACATATTGGTAGGCAATAAAATGACATCATGTTTAAAGGAAAGTGTGCTGCATAGTGTTGGTGGCTCAGAATAGTCAGGTGATGATAAAAGAGTCCAGGGTATCATGAAGCTTTGAAGTAATGTGAGGTGCTCTTTCCCAGCTGTGCACTTCAACAAAGTTCTAGCCTCATTAGGCCTCAGGGTTCCTGACTGTATATAGGATCAGCAGCATTGCCTGTGCTGGGCTATTTTGAGAATTAAATATAATGTGTTCACATGGTCTGAACCATTAAGTGGCAGCCACTAACATCTGACCTGCTAGGACTGTGCAGGAAATAGCCTTCTCTCAGTGAGTTGCTGCTACAACCTGCCAGACATTGCATAGATAGGAAAGAAATCACAGTTATTGACTCAGATCATCTGGAATTTCTAAATCAAAGACATTTGTAACACTTTCTTGCACTTCATAAGTCTTTGTAATTTTATTTCAAATCACCTGAAATTATCTGAAATATTTCAAAAATCATTCCATTAGCAATTTGGTGGCATGGTGTAAACATGATTTGGATTCCAAGTCCCAGTTCTGCCACAGACCTTTATGAATACCGACATGTGAGGGCCACTTACATCACACCTTCTGAGGCCCAACATACTCGAGTCTATGTAGAATCCATTTCTCGGTGGATGAGACTTACAGCAGATGGGTGTGAGCATGCTAAACCATCACTGGTAGCTCAGCAAAGTGGGGCTGTCTGAGGTGCCTGTGCTTATCCTAGCAAGGGTCAAACAGCAGCACTTCTGGGAAACCAGCCTCACACAGGGAGTGTCCTTCCAGAGTGTGAGCTCCTGCAGTGTCCACAGCTATTGACACTTGTGGTGACTGCAGGGTGGTATCGTCCCTCAGCCCTCTGCATTCAGATGTCAGCTCAAACACTTGGAACCTCATCGACTGTTGCCTTGTATAAGACTCAAAGCCCAGACAGCTGGGAGATTCCCAGAAAGAGAGGACAGCTCCGAGGGCTGCAGCAGGTATCTGCTGGGAGACTGAGGTTGGTAGCTTCTACCCCTCCTGCAAAGTCTGCCCGGGTGTGGGATGTGTACTGCAATTTCTCAGCACAGTGATGCAAACATGAGCACATGCACATACACACACACACACACACACACACACACACACACACACACGAGTGCGCGCACATGCACACACACTCAAGCCTGAAAAAATGTTATCTTTACAACAGCTTCCGTGGTACATCTTCCTTGCCTTCATTATCAGGGAAGTGTCTGATGTTCTGTCAAAAAGATATTTTTAAAAGTCTAAGCAAAAGAGAACAAGCTGGGGAGACCCTGTCCCTTCTAAACTCCCATGCACTCTTGTTTTAAATCCTTGCTGTCACACCTACGGGGTTCTTGAGTAACACTGCGAGTGGCAGATAGCCACCCTAGCTCATCCTGCTGTCCCACAGCCAGCAAACAGTGACTTTCCTCGACTTCAGCCATGCTTTGAGTGCTTGTGCTTGGAATAAATCACAAGTAAAGTGGCCAGGGGTCCTTTGGAATAAAACTTTTGTTTTATTCTGTAGAATCTACTTCAGAAGCTACTGACATTTACCTAAGTAATGGGTTTATAGATCTGCGGAATTCTTCATGTTCAAGGTACTGGCTTTTGAACTCTCTTTCCTGGCTTCTTCCTGGGAACAAGCATTCAGCAAATGCTAAGAAAGGGCAGCTCAAGGCAGGGCTTGGGTCATCTTTGGACAGCACTGGGAGATCATTCCTGCCTATTGGGCAGCATGCTACTGCTGTAGTAGCTAGTTTCTTTTTTGTTAAATGTCATATTTCCTGCCAGGGACTTAGCTCAGTGGTTCTGCCGCCTGCCTCGCAAGCGAGAGGACCTGAGTTCAATCCCTGGTACCAAAAAAAAAAAAAAAAAAAAAAGAAAGAAAATGTTATATCTCCTGTTTGAGAGGCAAGTAGTCTGAATTGGTGCTTTTTGCTTTCTGCAAAGCTGTATGAGAAAATCAGCAGTCATAATCCTCATGAGACATCAAGAATACAGACCTGTTCTTTAGATTCCTATGAATCCATAGGTCCTTTCCAAACCAGACCTAGCAAGGTTTTACCTGACTTGCTGTGTGCACTGGAAGAGTGCAAAATATTAGATGAAGGTGCTGTCAGAATTAGCCACTTAAAGTTGACCTCTGCCAGAAACTTCCAGGTGATCTCAGGTCTTCTCTTCCCACCTCCCACTCCCAAACTGCCTCCATAAGGACACAGTCTGTAGGAAACATATCCGAGTCACCAGTGACCTAGTTCATTGCTCACAATGAACAGTATGACTAAATCCAGCAGCAGTTATGTGCAGTAAAGATTTAGAAAACCCTGGCATATTTCGTAAGCCTAGAAGCAAGATAATTGTAAGAGCATCCGTCTCAGTATCACCTGCTCCTGACCGGAGATAAATGTGGCCCTTGATTGTTTCACATGACTAGTGGCTGAGGAGGCTTGTGTGCCCTCGCAGATCTGGTTTGACACAGGGAAATATGAGTAAATAGGCTCATTCATGTATTGAAATCAGTCTGGAGG